ACCGATCACCGTTCTCGTTCTGCATCTTCGAGTCCCCATCTGGATCTTGGAGATCTACCGATCTCCTTTCCGTCTGGAATTGAGTAATTTGTTGCAAAGACAATTAGATGCAACAGATTGTTGACTAAGTGACTGAAACGTTTACGTTTGAGTTTGGTCTTTGCATCTTCGGTGAAAGGAAGTCGACGATGGAGCTGAATTCGAACCCATGAAGATGTCTTTTTGGCCCCGGAGGCAAAAAGTTGGACTTGGAGGAACAATAATGAGCTGCTGACAAGCTGGAATGAAACCCAAGCACTGCAAAAAGAACATGATTTTAGATTAAATCTTATAAACTCTATATATAAAATATATAGATCTTAAAATGTTGTCTTATCAAGCCTTTAATTATAAGGGTATTATTATTTCAATCAGAAGCTTGTAACACAGTAAAGGAGTCTTTTTCGACCCTATAGTGCTTTAGAATTATCCCTTTTTATTATCCCAAAAATCATCTAAATTCTATGCAAATATAGTATTTTCTCAAAGTGCAGACCAGGACAGAGTTCAATTGAGTTCAGTAGGGAACATCTGAGATGAAGATGCCACCACTGAAAGCTGTCTGGGATTGGACCCTCGTAGCATTTCATAATTTTCAGTCAATTATGCGTCTCTTTCGAGGGCCACAGCCAAAACAAACACAGACCTTGGGACCGAGTTAATGACATTGAATGGGGTCAGGCCCCCAGCCGTGGAAGAATCAGCAACAAAAAAAAAAATAAACCCAGAACCACAACGAGTACGAATCCGAGGAAAGATTGCTGACAGCAATCAACAGTTGTGGACTGTGGCTCTGGTCGCATGTGAGTGTCACTCTTCCTCCAACTCAGCCCCTTTGGCAGTCAGCAGTTTATGTCTGGCAAATCACCAGGTGTACACATAACCGACTAGGCAATGGCCCTTCTTGTATGTAAATATTTATAACAAAACTCTATGAGCTTAAAAACATAAGAACATTGAATGGAAAATATTAAATTATCAAAAGCAATAATTATATCCTTTCAGGGTATTCTAATTTCAGACAGAAGCTTAAAACGCAGTAAAGGAATCATTTCCGACCCTATAAATCAAATATATTCTTGATCAGCATTTAAAGCTGAATCGATTTAGCCATGTAAAACTAAGTATGCAGATTTGTGAACCTTATAAAAACTAGCACAGAAAATCTTTCCTAATTAAAATAATGAAGTTAGAAGTTAGAAGAAACTTGCTTGTTTTAACTTGCACAAAAATAAAAAATTAAGTCACATAAATTATTAAATTATAAACCCTAGTATCAATTACATTTCCTTCAACAAAAATCATTATTATTAAGTATTATTTCCATACCTGTTAAGAGTTTATTGGCTCCTTTAGGCCGCTATTGAAATTTGTTCTGCTTATCCCAATTTAGCTTGCATTTTTAGCCTGGATCATCATCATTCACCTACTTTTCGTTTCAGCGATCCCAGAGATAGCAGCTAATGGGATACGACTCAGTTCTTATCGCACATTAATTGGACGCTGATCGTTGGATTGGATATACCCGCCGCAGGTTAGAGATCGAGATTCAAGATTCGCGATCATCATCGCTGTGCTGCTGCTGCCTCACCCAATCTCTCCCGGTCGCAAAACACGTGCACATCAAACTCTACGCTTTATAATTGGTTTGTCGAGCTGCCAGCAACCGGCTAAGTCGGGGTCTTAGCCTCAGATTCAGTCTTCAAAGCCACAGCTCAAGCTCACATGTCTCCCATTCGGTTAAGGCCAAAGAAAAGTCGAGGCTGTAAGACAAGCACTGTAGGAAAATTGGCATTCTCTTGTAAGGTTTAAGAGTTAATATTAAGTATTTCATATTTATGTCTTGCAGGAAATTTTGTAATATATAGAGGTTTTTCTATGACTTAATAGCTTTTTACTAATTTACCTATTTCATACGTTCAAAGATCACATAAATTTCAAAAGAAACGGTTCACATTTCTCTCTGTGTGTCCAAAAACCAACGTCAGCGATGCTAAGTGAATTAAAATAATGCTGCCGCTGCTGCTGACCATCACGAGCATGAGGATGAGGATGATGATGATGATACTGATGAGGCCGGGTCTTTGGAACAACTCCCAACTCCCAACTCCCCGCTATGATCCTGTCTCACTGATGATTCTATTTATTACATGGCAAGCAATTTGCGATTCCGCTGCGTTTTAATTATTTGCCATGCCCGTTAGTTTTAATAAAGTTGCTAACTGTGAAAAGACGTGACTGGGAAAATGAGCGTTTAATTCGCACGGGGGAAAGTGTCGGGTCTAGCCAGGCCAAGCCAGGCGCTCTAGTACTATGGAGCAGCGTCCAGACCTCGGTCCAGACATCTGATTAAAATCTCGGCTTGTCCCGCAGAATTTCGCAGAAAATTCTTACACGCAAACGACAGCTGAAAAGTTGCTACGTTAACACCCAATGCCTAAAAGTCCCACAGCAGATCGTGGAGCATTTCGTGCGAAATTTTATCACGCAAGGCATTTGAGCGACGCCATCTGATAAGCATCTATGCGGGGAACTTGGGTTTTATTTTTTGGTGGTGGACACCACAACTGATTCTGCGATCTTGGCCAGCAGATTGCGATCGGATCGCGGCCGAACACTGATAGCAGCGAAAAGCTTGCGATCCTTAAGTCACGCCCCACAAACAAAGGATCAGAGATGGTAGACAATGGTAGCTGAAATGTTGATAAAATATTATAAGTTTTGGTTAAATAATGTATAAAGAATATTTAGAAAAATAAAATAAATATGTTCGTAAGTATTTAATTTTTTAAGGTGGGAAAAGTATGAACAAGTTTACTTAAAACACTTTAAAAGGTAAACGTTGAATATTTATACACAATAATAATACAACTCTGATTAACATTTAATAAATAATTAAATATAGTTTCAAAAAATATATAAAAGAAGCCAAACCACCAGCACTTTGAAAATCTCCCTGACTGGGGACGCCTCTGTCTTATCTCCAGCTGGGCATCTGCTCATCTCATTCCATTCCAAATCCCTGCATCTCTTTTTCCCCGCCTCAAAAAAAAGGCAACTGCTCCAAGGCGCCTTGAAACATCACAAAAAGGGGCGTGGCAGGGCTGCAGCTGATGTTACTGATTTTTTTGCAAGGTTTTCCTTGGCTCGGGTGCCAAGTGTTTGCGCCAAGCGTTGATTGTCCTTATCGCCGGCGCAGATCATCGCTGGATGGCTGGTACGTTGCATCCTCTCTGGGGCCATGAGGAGCACAGGCATGCGTAGATGCTGCCTAGAGATCGCAGATTGCACTTGCGTGCCAGACTGGCAACACAAAAAAATAAAACAAGCAACAGCAAAGGAGAGAAAAACCAGTGCCAAGTGATGAATGTCCGTGTTATGCGATCTAATGATCTAGAAATGAAGTTAATAAATCGTTTAACCAGATGGCACAGCTCTGGACGAGATCGAGAAAAAGAGGCTGCTACTTGTTGGATAGTGGATGCTTGTAAAACCAAACATAGAGATGACAGGGCTTCCAAGTAAAAATATTTAATTTTAAACAATATATAAATCAAATGGAAATAGTTACCAGAAGAATCATATTTTAAGATCCTTGAATCAGGAGCTTTTTCGCCTTCGTATACCACCAAGAAAATTTAAATATGTGTATTTTAGTTATATTTAAATGGATATTTTTATATGCTTATTTTTGGCATAAATCTAAAATTTTCAAACTTCATAACTTAGCCAAAAAAGTCATTAATTTCAATTCGGAAAGCTGTTCTGTGCTAATTTTTATAGCGCTAACAAATCTGCATACTGCGTTTTGAAATTTAAAAAATTCAATTTTTTGCCAATTTCTGACAATTTTAATGATGTAACCCCTTATCTTTTTTTCAAATTTTGGAAAAAAGGGCAAAAATTTATTTTTCCACAAGACATGGATAGATCGATTCAGCTGTTCATTCTGATCAAGAATATATATGATTTATAGGGTCGGAAATGATTCCTTCGATGTGTTATAAGCTCCTGATTAGTACTTATACCCCGGAAAAAGGTATAAAAACAGGCCTGCGTTGTTGATGCTGTTAAAAGTATCTGACTAAAATTATAATAACCTTCAAAAAGGTATATAAACAGGCAATTTTTTTTAATAATCAGTGTCTTTTAAACATCATAATTAAGCCAAAAATGCGTTAAATTCAATTCGGAAAGCTGTTCTGTGCTAGTTTTTAAAGCGCTAACAAATTTGCATACTGCGTTTTGAAATTTAATTCAAAAAAAAATCAAAATTTCGACAATTTTAACGATTATTAACCCCTTATGGTTTTTTGATTTTTTCGACAAAATTTCGAAAATTTATTTTTCAACCGTACATAGCTAGATCGATTCAGCTAATAATGCTAAATATGAATATATATACGTTATGGGGTCGGAAATGACTGCTTCACATTATAATATATTACAAAGGTATAAAAAAATACATTACTCTTGCCACATATTTCTAAAACTCTAGATTGAAGCAAGCTATACAGACAGCACTGCCACACTTGCCCCGTTTGGCAACTGATCGACCACCGGGCCCGGGCACCGAGCGACAATTTGCATAACTACTGTGCTTATGCTGCAAACATAACAAATTACAACGATTTTGCGTACATACCATGGCCATGGCGTGCCATCCCAGACTAGAAGGAAAACGAGGCGTTTAGCAAATATCTCTTGTCCCGTAACGGGACTCCGAGCAGTGCAAACAAGGCCGAGTTAATGCCCCGGCACATGGTAATAGCCATAATAAGGCCGCCGCAACGAGACAGGCAAACATCAGATGGAATTATGCAAAACCCGACAACAAATCACCACATTCCTTCTTGTTCATTTTGGTTACTTTATTTTTCTTAAATTCATTATGCTTAGATGGATATTTTTTAAATTGTGCAAATTGTATTGCATTTAAGATTAATATAAATAGGCGGCAGTCGAATTAGTGGTTGTTTTAATGATTTTATGTGAAATAGATGTAAAATCTGTAAGAACAAGAAGTAAACTAATTAGTTTAAATTTTAATTTAATTTAATTTCGATTCAATCTCACCTAATGTATGATATTAAAATTAAACGCCACATACCCCAAATTAAGTGAGAAGATCTGTAATCAATGAGAATTCAGAATAAGTCAAGGGTTCATAGATATTTTAAAAATAATTACTGTTTTTTTAGGCTCAGTAACTAATTTACAATCAAATCATTTCATTAGTCTAACATATGTAAAGTAACATCATTGTTGTGGATATTTAAGTTTAATATATAATTTTAAACAGGTACTTACCTTAAAATCTGTTTGTATGCAGCAATTTGGGTGGTATTGTCAGTTAGAACTGAAAAAATAGATAGAAATAAATAATTAGCAACATTTTCCTTTACTTAACAAGTTTACTAAAATGTTTTCATTATCAGCACTATATAACTTTACACTAATCAAATCTTTTCATAGGTGTCCCAAGGTAAAATCGTAAATCATCATAAAATAAAATGTAATAATTATTTAAAAACATGGCTTACCTTATCCAACATAGAATAGTTCCAATTGAGCTTTTATTATTTGTTCTTCCGCAGTCTGAAAAATAACAATGTTAACATTTTATTATTATATAATTTATGAAGCAAAATAAAAGTATTAAAAAGATGAAATCAGTTAATATAATTTACACAAATCAAGGCATTTCATAGGTGTCCCAAGGTAAAATAGCTATGTCATCAGCAAAAAAACCATCAATTAAATAAACAAATTAAACTTACCTTAGAAGGCATAACGCGTGCGAATATCCTCCAGCTTCTTGCAGATCTGATTGGGCGTACGGAACATATCGCCGGCGATGCTCTTCTGTTTGGCCGCATCAATCGACAGATATTGCTCACAGAGATCACCATCCAGCACATTCTTCACTGGATAATACGAACTCCTGTAGCTGAGATGATCACGTCCACAGAGCGGTGGGTTCTCATTGCGCATATGCATCTCCAGATGCTGGAAAAAGTCATAATCCTCACGACTCGTAAAGGGTACGAAGGCGCCAACTGTTCCACTGAGCGTCGAGTAGATCAAAGCCTCCGATCCGCCAGGTATTAGGGTGGCCTTCTGCAGCGACATTATAATCTCGCCCACATGGAAGGAGCACACGTTCTCCGACTTTTGAGATGCACCAGACAGCAGACCACGATCCCATAGAGATTTAGTGCCCGTCGGATCCTCGTCCACATCGTCCGTTACCGAATGCGGCAATCGTTGAATGCTTAGGTTTCCAAACTTATCGGCAATTGCAATGGTATCGTAATCCAGCAGTGTAGTAGCCGTCACCCATCGTGGATGCGTGTCGTCCGCAAATATAATCAATTGATTTTCAGCTCGTCGATAGCGGATAAAGAATACAGATTCCTGGACATCCGACACGTAGACTCGATGTCCCATGGCCTGAATGTTGACAATCTGGTAGGGAATGTGTTTGTTCTCGCATTTGCGTAGCATTTTCTTCTTTCCAAGATCGTAGATCCTCAGCATTCGACCACAACCGGCTAGCAGACGACCCTGGAATCCACACAGGGCACCGGGAATCTCCTCAATCTCCGTGCGATGCATAAACTCAAGGCTCGAGCAGGTAGGATCAATCTTGTAGATGTCGATGCAGCCGCCTTGGGAAATCCTAGGGTTCAGTTGCAGATCCTTTGCTATTCCCACTGCCAGGTAGTATCGACCATCGGCAGCTATGGAGAACTTGACCATGGCCATTGACATGATGGCCTCGTTCTGGGTGAGCGGCACATTGAACATTGTCTGGCCGTGCATGGCATCCAGGCAGCGGATCTGCGAGGCCCAAAGACCCAGTCCCGCCTTGGGGGCAGAGAACACATCCTCGGGGAGGACTTCGTTGATGAAGGCATTGGCCATTTCACGGGCCAGCTCTCTTTCCTCATCCCCCGCCGCACTGCGCATCTCTTCGGCCATTTGTTCCTTCCTCGCACTCTTTGTATCCTCGGTATAGGCATTGTGATCAGTTTCGGCGATCAGCATGCGTCCTGTATCCGGATGAATGACGAAGGTTCGCGGTGTATACTGCAGGGGGAATGCCACTTGGTTGAAGACAGCTCCCAACTTCTCAAGGGCCAAGATCCTCAGGGTATTGGTCGATATAGCCACAATACCTTCGCTACACTGCTCGCTGGAGAAGCCGGAAGCATACTCGAGGGTTTCATACGAAAGCGGCGTCAAATGGAACCGGTTCTGATGGTAGTATGACAGCCAGGATCTGCTGGACATGGCCAGGACAGCTTCCGCTCCCTGCATCTTGATCCGAAACAGTTTTACAGGCCGAGAGCCCAGATACCGGGTCCTGGTATCGGCCAAATCTCCGGAAACTGGATCCAGCACTGTACGCAGCAAGACGCCGTTGCTCAGGCCAATGTTGAGATAAATGGTTCCCTTATTGCTTCCACCTCGCTGGGTAGGCGCATCATCATCCAATGGTCCTCCACTGGTCGTACTCTCAGTGTGTCCCATTTCCACCAAACAAAGCGACTCTGCCGGCGATGGCAAGGCTTGCATGGAGCAGGGAGTCAGGCAATTGTTGGGATCCAGCGATAGGATTCGCACAGTATTATCTGCCAGGCCAACGGCCAAGAACCAAGATCGCTGTTCGCCATCGGGCACCGTTCCCAAGGCCATGCACATAATCTCCGCTGGCATTTCAGAACGTTCAGTGTATTCGTTGAGCTCTCCAGTCTGCAAGGATCAATAATAGAAGTCAGTTAGCTCATTTGTTTAGCTAAGTATATAAGGATTTGTACATTTTATAAAGCTCAGCACTGCAGGACACATAGTGTCTCAACATGATTGTTCTTTTCGTGTTTTTGTCATCAGAGCAAATAAAATATTTATATTTTAATAAATAAAATGCTTACCGGATCCATTTCAAAGTAGACCAACTCCCTGCCGGACAAGGTGATCACCACCTGACGCTGATTGACCGCACACTTGGTAATCGATTTCTTGCCCGGAGCCTTCCACTCATTCACACGTTTATCCGAGCGAATGTGACGAATGCCATCGGGATAGACCTGAACCAGGGCATCGTCGCCCAAGGCGGCACAGCAAAGTGTAGGAGTTGTGCCCAGAAAACCACTGTCTGTGACCTCCTCAACGGTCTCGCCGATGCTCAGGACCAAAGTGGCATTAACGAAAGACACAATGATGTAGGCATCAAACTCGTCTAAAAGTATGGGGAGAAAACACAAATACTTTGATGGTAAGTAGGTGAAATATAAAGTGTAAACATATAAAAGTTTGCCTAACTTTAGACAGACATTGAATAATCAGTTTATCAAGTTGTAATCAATGGATAATTCAGCTGAAACACGGTTGATAAGTATCGCATCATGTTCAATGTCTGACTAGCTTAAAAGTACTTGTGAATCATTGGTTTTTAGATAATAGTAGTAGTAGTATCTGTTGACTTATGAGCTGCTTAAAATGTTGCCTTACCTATCGCTTCACAAAAGACAATTTAAATTTTACACAAACGCTTTTTTAAACGTGTTTTGTCTTTTTCGATAGTCACACACATGACGTCTGTGTTTCTGTGTTTAAGCGCCTGAAATAAGAGAGAACTGGTGGTTGATAACTTGTGGGACTATTTGGGGAAATCTATAGTTAGGTGTATTCTATAGCTCGATCTGTATCAATGCACCAGTTGAGTTATTAGCCACTTTTTCAGTCTTAGGTCTAAATCTTATCCTAACAATTGTGAATGAGACGGAGAAAGGACTCACCATCAGCTCGTTTCTTCACAGTCCAAACGGCATTGGGATTACCGGGCAACTCGGAAACTGCCATTTCAGACACCTCCAAACCATGTCGCAGAACGCGCAGCGTGGACCGGGGCCCGCGACCGCACAGCACATACAACTGGGGCGTATCCTCATTGGCAAGATCGGCCACCTGACTGGTAATGATGGGCGCAAACGATGGGATTTCGTCGACCAGCACAAGATTCTTCAGAGCACGTGGCGCAAAGAAAAAGGTTTCACCCTCCTCCAGAGGCATGGCCGAACTGAACTCGGGCTCATCATCATCATCGCCAAGGTGAGCAATTTGATACAGGTAGCTAAAGTGAGACAGAAAATACATTTGGTAAATACTTAGATTAAGAATCAGTAAAAAATCGAATACTTACTGGTTGCCAAACTCGCTGGCCACAAACAGGAAGCCCGTTTTCAGCACACACATCGCAGTTGCTGGCGGCACAGTATCAAAGTACTTGAGCTTGATCTCCGACACCACATCATCGTCAGTTTCCAGAGTAATCTTGAAAATGTCTCCCTGCTCGGTCTGCAGCAAAAAGAAGTACATGCTCTTCGTGCGATGCGTTGCGGAGCAGATGAAGATCATGCCCCTCTCGGGATCATCGAGATCGTTTCTCCTACGGGGAATGGGACAACGGATGTCATGCTGATCGCCGAGATTCTTGTACGTCAGATAGTTCTCGGAGCAAATAAGCACACCCGAGGGTCCATCGTTGCCACCGGGCACAGAGACCAAAAAGTTGGCATGCTCTTCCAGGGGCTCCGAGTATTTGCGAACCACATGGTTCAAGCCCAGATCCAGCTCGTAAAAGGTCAGAGTTTGCTGTGTGCGCTGAGCGGCATCACCTGGAATAAGGGAAATGAATAAGGAGTTAGTAATGTCACGATTTTAAAGAAAATTATACAATTTAAAGTCCGACATATAATTTATAATATATAATTTAGAGATTCTAGTGTGCGTCACAAATCAGTGAAGTGTGGCTAGGCTAATTACAGCAACACCAATGGTTCAGTGATCACAATTTATCTGGCACTAAGTACAAAACAGTGTTCGTGGTGGCAAAAATCCACTAAACCTGTGAATTAAAGCGCCTTCTTCGGGGGATATACATTCTAGTAAGAGCCTTACCCGATGGATCCAAGTCAGCCTCCTCGTAGTCAATCTCCAGGCAGGCAAACATGGGATTATCAAAGCCCACATCCACCCCCACCATGTGATATGTCAGGGTGTTGGATTTATGTGCCTCCAAGGGAGACGAGATCGTCAAACGAGCCTGAGTGTCGCGATTCATGATGTAGGCCAACTTTTGCTTCTCCACGGCACCAATCATCACAGCTCTGCCTTTGGGATCAATGGCAAAGTACTGACCGGGGACAATCCGACGACAGCCCGATTTGCCAAAGGTCTCCTGGTGCACCTTTTCGAGAGCATTCTTCGCGGGAATATACTCGAGGATCACAATGCGACCGGAGTCTGAACCCACAACAATGTAATCTGTAATGGATAGAGATTAATTATAAGTAATTTATTTTAAGGAGAGCACCTAATTTAAAAACTAGCTTTAGTCTTGTAACTCGAAGTTTCAATTCGCCATTCCGTTTATTTGGGTTTATGGCAAATGCGACGCCAAGTCTTTTGGTTATTCTCGCACGTAGACACGTTTTTAGGTCTTACTGGGGTCAACCAAAGAAAGTTGCCTCAATAGGGATTTGTGCGGCTCTTGATTGTATTGAACTTTACTTAAAATAGTGTTATTTGTCAAGAGAAACTTGAGGTTTGGGTTGGGCTTCCACACGTGGGGGTACCCGCCATTTTGTTTTCTAGGTTTCTATATCTAGAATCGGTATCCAAGTTTCTCGAAACACGTGTTACCAACTATAACTGTACTCACCCTTGGTGCCGCCTGTGAGACGAAAAGCCATCAAGGCGCGAATGCAGCCAAAGATCTCCGTGGACATCAGCGTGTGCACCTTGCCCGTGTTCGAGTCTGGCCGTAGGAGCTCCAGCGACTTGCCGCGCGAGAGGAGCACCTCCTGCTGCTTGCCGCCGGAGAAGTTGCCGTGGACCGCATGGGTCACGCCCGTGCCCTTCTGCAGGGTCAGGTTGTACAGATACATGATGCTAATGCAGCCCTATACACATTCACTTTTTTCCAAAACTGCAAGAGAGTAGATTTGAGGTTAGGTACAGTCGCCGGAAAAATGCTCTTAAATAACCATCAAATACGCATTGTATTTGAGATATTTTGTACTACTTTGAAAACCATGGCCACAGTATGGGTAGTCGTGTCGCCTAACGATGCTAGTAAGCAGCATTTAATTGTTAATTTAGCACGTTACAATTGCGACCAAAGCACAGACATTTCTGATTTCTGGAGATACATCGTGCACAGCGAAATATCATTAAATAATACTTAAATCGTCTGCGGGGGCTTACCTTCTGCTGGTTTAATGGGTGAATTGACGCATTCCATCAGCGATGCCTTTGGATTTTGATTTTTTTTTTTACGCAGCGTCCATCTTGCACGTCCGTCTTGGTTGTCGAAAAAAAGTGAAAGAAAAAACGTCATTGCCAGTGTGACCAGGCTGGCTGCACTCGATAATGTCAAAAACATCGATTAACACTATCGATTCTATTGTACTATCGATGTTTTGATTGTTATTTTATTTTACATTTTACATCTGACACTTACTTGGGGTAGAAATCTCGCCTTTGGGGTAGAATTCTCATGTAGGAAGTAGAATTCTCATGTAGGAAGTAAAATTAATTATATCGATACTGTTTCATTCGTAAAAACATCGTCAGTATCGATAGCGGAAAATATCGATGGTTGCCAGCTCTACAGTATGGCCCGGCGGAAAGAGATCAGTAATACCGGCAACGAATAATATATCGATGGTGGAACTATCGATAACTGAAGCAACAGCTGACAGTTGAAAACAACAATTTCGTGCGCCTTGTAAATATTACTAATTGTTCAAAAATGGATGAAAAAGCCGACCAAGAAAAGCTTTATGTCGAGGCGCAGAAGAAAGTCAAGTTGGGAGAAGAACTCAAACAAGCGCTGGTAGACTTTGAAGACATTCCGGGCGTTACTAAGGTGCAGCGAAAGATTCAGCAGGAACTGAAATTTCTAAATAAGGTTTGTACTCGAAACCCACTCTAGAAGAATCCACTAAACTGGTTATCCTCCAGGTGATAGCAACAAAGTCTGTGAGGGAGCATCATATAACCAGCAGCAACTTTGTTTACTACGATTTTCTGATAAAAACGCTGCGGCTGCAACAAGGTGTGGTGGACATCAATGCCGTATTTCGCCTAGAATCTCGGGATAGTCCTCTGCGAGTGGACATAGTGGCCAATAATGGTCTCAAATGGGTGAAGGTCATAGCCAGAAATTCAAAATCCGTGGAGGATGCGGCTAGGGGATGTGTGAGCATTGGGGCGAGAAGCGTCATAGATCAGGCGGAGGATTATCTGGAGGCGAGTTCCCTGCATTTCTGCATGTTCCAGAGGCCGAAGGTAAGTTTCCCTTTAATTGAAAACAAAATTGTCACTAATAAAATGCGATTCGTTTTATAGATTGTCTTTTACTTTTCCAATAAAATTGAGGATTCTCTGCATGAGGAACTCATAGAGATGGGCGTCCAGACAGCTTCCCTGGACTCTCCAGACCCTGACTTGGATCAATATGCCACCACATCGAATGAACTCAACTTGGATGTGACCACTCTTCTGGCCTATGTGAGTGCACTGACCAATGGCTCAGCCAACTGGGTGTACAAGGAACCGCTGCTTACCGAACAGGCAGAGCGGGAAAGGGCTTCTCCTCTGAAGCCTCTTCTGGAGAAAATCCTTGAAGGAAAAACGCTAGTGTGCTGCCAATTAGCCTTTGATGCCTTCCAGAGTATACTTGACATTGTGGGGGGCGAGGGTGAACGAAAGCGAGCCAAGGAGCTGATGGAACGGGTAACCGTTTACCCGGATGTGGAAAGTATACCCGAGGAACTGTCCCACATCCGCTTCACTGCCAATGTGAACGAGCGAAGTCTGAAGATCTTTAGTTTCGGCATGGCCCGACAAATTTTCACAGTGACTTCGAATAAGGCTTTCGTAAGATCAGCTAAGATGCAAGTAGGTTTTCTGTATATTTCCAAATATTTCATAATTATATATTTATTACTTTGCAGGGTATCAATGTGCCTGTTTTTGTACACGCTTCCGTGGCTCTTACCGAGGGTAAACAGGCCACCGGCAGACCTCTTTAAACAAGACAATAATTGTTAATTATTTAAATTTACCTAATATAATGTATATCGATGTCAATCAATCGATAGTTTAGGCAACAGAGTTGCCACCTCGTTCGCAGAACAAATATGTAAACAAGAGAAAATCGGAGAAATTGCGACTTTTGTAAAATAAATGAATATTTTCGGCTTTAAAACACAAAAACAGCACCATTTAAAAACTTGTTTTAATAAATTAACTAGCTGGAACATTGATAAACTAAAGGAATAACAGTTATTACAAAATCACAGACACAAAACCGTACAACATGGACTGCGCCCCACTTAATTTGGTAAGAACTGTGTTATTTTGGTTGAAAAATGTAAACAATATAATTTAATACAGGCCCACTTCCACGAGCGGCGTTCAGAGCGTTTCATACGCAACCATCGGTACGAGGAGGCCATCAAAGCACTGGAAACGTCCCTAATTTACATGCAGGATGCCCAAAAGAGGGTCTCGCTGCCCAAATCCAAGGAGGTTCTAGACACCCTAACACTGGATTTCCAACGAAAACTGCGGCAAATTGAGATGCGGAAAACACAGCATGGCCTGAATAAGCTAAAGGACTTTGCTCCTTTAAAGGAAACCAGTCCCATGTTACCGCTCCGGCCGGACAACAGCAGTAGTGGCGGCGTCGGCAGCGGAGGAGGGGCACTGGGTTCCGCCCAGTCCGTTGCCAAGGCCATTGACAAAACAGTGCAGGACTTTGATGCCAAGTTCACATCCACCCTGGTGACAAAGGCCACCTTGGCCAGCTCAGAACCTCAGATGGAGACGCTTAAGAGAAGCACTGATTCGGCGGCGGAGGGTGACGAGACAGACCCCCACGAGCATCGCTTGACGGGCAGCGGTGACCTGGATCTGCCTGCGCTGGCTCCCCTGGAGCTGCCCTCATTCGATTATACCCTGTTCACTAGTTCGTCTGCACCGTCGCTGGCCAGTTATGCCGGGATGGCCGAGAGCTTCCAGAAGTAGCCTAAAATGTAAAATTTCTTGATTAAGTTCTTGGTTTTCTTTCCAAAATACAAGTTATATTAAAGTAAGAAATCTTGTAAGTTTAAGAATAAAGTTCACCAATAATTATGCATTAATCTAAGCTATTTTATTTGGCCATCAGACCCTTTAGCAGATCGTCCATGTCAGTTTCGGTTTCAACATCTTTGAGTAACAGCAACACCTGGGCCTCCATTTCGCAGAGAATGGCTGGCTTCTGGTAGGTTATAATCAAGGTATTGAACTGATGATGCACGGAGAGATTCGCCTGAGACGGGGCTACGCCACAGCGATCCAGCTCGGGAATGGGAATCACCTTGTAGTACTTCTTGTTCGTGGTGCGCACTATTATGGCACGCTGGTCGGCATCTGCAGTTACATTGTAAATTTCCAGGGGATATGGCATGTTGCGAATGCGCCACTCGATGTTCTTCTTGGTCACCCTCTTGGTCAGCAGCGGGGCTGTGTTGCTCTCCCGCAGAGTGAATTCTGGACCCGCCAGGGAGTCTGCATCGCCGGCCCCGTTTCCTCCTGCGGCGCCGTTGGACTGATTTGCCGACCAGTTCAGCTGGCGCGGCTCCTCGCCCAGCTCAATTTCCCACTCCGGCTGGCCCATCAGCTGCTTGCACTTTCTCCAGGCCCGACGTTGAACGATTCCGGTGTCCAGGTTGTACTCCTCGGCCATTTGACGACCGTCCGGAAACTTGTACAGCACTTTGCGCAGGCGGCCGCTGATCATCGAGTTCTTCTCCGCCGACTGCAGGTAGCTCAGCCAGTTTTGGTACGACATCTTCGCCTCTGGGGGTTATTTCCTAAATCGAAAATAGGAACTGGTGTTTGATCGATGGCGCAAATTGAAAAGCACATTGCGATCGCAACTTGGCAACCCTGTCAGTTTGTTTACAATCAAAAATCGGGGAGCGTTCATACATTAAGGTTATTTGTATACCCTTGATTTATCGGAAAAGTTCTGTTAATTTACATTCACCCGACATCCAAGGGGAGAGAATTCTATTAATGAGGGCAGGTCTGTTAATTAATTTTAATTTATACATGAGAATTCAACACCGTGCAGAGAATTCTAACCCAAAAGTGAGAATTCGACCCCATGCATATGTAAAAGTGTAAAATTGTATTCTAGACTTGTACGATGTCAAATGTTAAATAACAGCTTCGGAAATCAGAGTGACCAAAATAAACAAATCAAAAAAATATCAAAAAATAAAAAACCAAAATTTTAGCATCATATTTTTTAATATTCAAGCAACCCTAAATTAAATTTTTGCTATTTAAAGTAAGCAGCCACGTACTCCTCACAAAGTTTATAAATAGCCGCGTCCCGACACAGCCCACGAACGTTAAGCTAATTTCGGAATATTATTTTGCAGGCACGCGCCGACGAAGAAAAATCGAACGAAAAAACGAAATAATAAAGGGAATTAAACATGAGTTTGGTATGGACTTTGATCGCCGGCTTTCTCTACGCCGAGATTGCCCTGGTTCTCCTGCTGGTGCTGCCCGTGGCAAGCCCATACCGATGGAACCGCCTCTTCAAGTCCAAGTTTCTGGCAATGTTGGCCCAGCAGGCGCACATATACTTTTTCCTGATCATGGGCGTCCTCGTTCTGTTCCTGCTGGAGGCCATCCGTGAGATGCGCAAGTACTCCAACTACGAGCAGTCCGGCGAGGTGCACCTGAACGTGGAGATGCAGCACAGCATGCGTCTGTTCCGCGCTCAGCGCAACTTCTACATCTCCGGCTTTGCCATCTTCCTGGTTTTGGTCATCCGCCGCCTGGTGACCCTCGTCTCGGCCCAGGCCAATCTGTTGGCCCAGAGCGAGGCCTCCATGAAGCAGGCCCAGAGTGCCACCGCTGCCGCTCGTTCCCTGATGGAGGACAAGAAGACCGAGAAGGCCAAGGAGGCTGGCGAGGACAGCACTCTGAATGAGGTAAGTTTAGAAAGAAGAACTCCTCGCATTCGACCGGCAGGAATGGCATGTTGTTTAAAGAGCTAACACCTAAGACTTTGGAGTTATTTTGGCTACTTATCGCTGTAAAGAAAAGGCAATGCATAAACGGAAAGGTGTGGTAAAGAAAATAGTCCATCTTGGAGGCATATTTGCCCTAAACGATGAGAGACTTACTATTATTTTAACCACACCTAGAACCGTTTTGAACCACACCCAACGAACATAAATGTTTGGGCCCTGAAACGCAGCCTCTCACTACTCGAAAGTATAAAAACCTCTTGTGTTAACTCTTTAAAACAGCTGTCAAGCCTGCGGAGACGTGTGCGAGGACTCACGGCCCGAGTGTCTCAAGTATCCCTTGACCGACTCATTCCCAACATATCCGAACACCCAAAAAGATACACAATCGAAACTCAACCCGAACACTCGTTTTACAGCTCACCAAGCTGCGCGATCACGTCCAGCAGCTCACCGCAGATCTCAACCGCGAGAAGAAGGACAAGGAGGCCGTCAAGTCCCAGGCAGAGAGCCTCAATCGCGAGTACGATCGCTTGACCGAGGAGTACAGCAAGCTGCAGAAGCAGATAACCATTGGCGGAGCTGGCAAGAGCTCAGGAAACAAGGATGATTAAGCACGACGTGGATGGAGCGTTTGGAACGAGTCCAACATTTAAATAACGATAAGACTTATACATGGCGGTGGGGCAGCGAAAGCAGGCACATTTAAAAAGATTATAAACGATTTGAAATCGATGAAAAGCACCTACACATCTTAATGTTAAACCCTCATAAACATATTCTCATTTGATAACGGAAAGGTCTATTGATAGTAGTTACCAGTCCCGTTTGCTTTTCGCCTGAAATTCTCTTGTATTTTGTATTTAATTTGTATGTCTTAAGTTTTGTTTGCCACAGTAACACACACACACAGGCGCTAGGAGCGTCGTGGCTATTAAAAGAACAACCATAAAGTACTCCTCCAGTTTCGATCGATAGATGATTCATTTTCAGCAGCTGATAGTCCACATCATGTCTGAGATGGGTACCAACTTGTTTATTCCATGGAATGACGTCAGAGGGCGACCTGTTTGTCCAGCTGTCGGTCAATGTTCGCTGAGGAAATCGGAAGTTTAGTAACTGTGACGAGTTAGCAGATTGCATTATGAAATTCAACTATTGCACATTCTTTGAGAATGTCTAGGAAACGCCATAAAATGCCAAAAATAATACAATGATAATGATAATTTCACGAGTACATATACAAATATACATGATAGCAAGCAAATATATAGCTTTGCTTAATTATTAGCATTTCCTATGAGCTTCAAAGAACTTGTTTGCCGTGAGCTTTTGATTTTGCAAACAAAACAATGAGATAGGTAATTTTCACTTCAATTTTTGAGGCAGAACACTTTTCTTTGTTGATTTTAGGCCTGAAGTTGGCAAATATTCAAGTTAATAGTTGTTGCTTTTTTTGGTATTAACAAAAAAACTTAGACAAACCGTTACAAGTGATAAGAACTCTTCAACATTTATTTAAATTACTCCCACCAAAAGCTTACAGAAAAGCTGGGTGCTTCGGATTTAACATAATGCCACCATTTTGGTGGCATATACAAGCAGTCTCCAGGTTGCAGGAGCAGCTCATAGAACTTGACCCTTTCCAGGAGGGGATAGGTCTTCATATCCAACTTGGCAGCATCTATTTGAGAAGTATTACCCAGGAACTCGCTGTCGTGGGGATACAGGTTCTCTGTGTCCTTGGGATCAGCCAGTATTATCCTCTTGGAACCGAAAACCTGGCACAGTAAATTATGCTTTGGATCGTAGTGCATGGGTGATATGGTGCCTGCTGGTCCTAGCCAAGCTTTAATATCTACAGATCCTGGCGGATCATCTTTGCTTATGCTACAGTAATCCGGTACGGAAATATCACTTTTCAGGGCTGGTATTTGGGAGAAGAGTTCATGCTGCGCCAGATACTCAATCTCTTGATTAGCTTTCTTCGACCCAAATTGTCTGTCAAGGAAATCTCGGATCTTGACCAGCTGCTGGGACCACTCGTCGCTGGCGTAGTTCGATCCAATCTCTATGGGAACAGTGCGATTTCCTGCCACTCTAAGAAGGTAATTGAGATCCAGCCACTTTTTCCTGGCGGGCCAATGTTCCATGGTGTTTAGCAAGAGTGTGGGTTGTTGTGCTTGGAAGCATTTGGTTTGGAATTCTTTTAAGCTGGGTGCATCCAGCTGAGGTATATCACAGGTGCACGAAATACGAACTAAAGGCTCCAAAACCGGCAGCAGTTCAGTGATCTCCTCCTTTCCTTTATCCAGGTAATCCATTAGGGCTATTTTTAGTTCACTCCAATCCTCCATGCAGCCCAGCAACTGAGCCTCATCCAGGATCCCACTGCATTCCTCCTTTTGGTCTGGTCTCGTGTCCTCCAGGAGCAGGAAAAATATCTAATAACATCTTTTTTTGTATAGTAAATAAATAAAAATAAGTTAATCCTCTTACTTTAAAGTAACATCCAATGGCATAAATCTTTCTAATGCTCAAAGGAACACTACTAAAATGTCCTGTGTGTATGCGTTCCCAGTTTCTGTCCACTAGAGCACAGATGAGGTATTTTATTTCCTCCTCCTCCGAATCTCCGCCAGAAATTCCAATCTGCAGTTTTTCCATGTGAATCGTAGCTTTTTTGAGTATATAGCGTGCCTCGAGTTCATCCTGAAGGAGATCTTCTATGTCTTCCCAACGTGGAAGTAGTTTTAACAACTCTAGGAGCAGTAAATCCATAGAATATTTAACAATTTTAATTGTTTACTATTTTGTTTACATTTCGGTGGGGCATTAATTGGGTTGCCAGATGCGTGAAAAAGCTTTTCATTAAAAATATCGATAAAAGGTAAACATAACTTTAATCGAGGTTTACTTACATCGGCAAACCAAATTTAAAAAAACTCATAACTAAGCTAAAAATTCTTTAATTTCAAATCGGATCTGCTGATCTCTGCTAGTTTTTATAGCGCTAACGAATATGCATACTGCATTTAACTATGTAACCCTTAATAATTTTTTGCAATTTTCTAAAAAATTTCAAAAATGTATTTTACAACCGGATATGGATAGATCGACTCGGCTGATGATACTGATCAAGAATATATATGATTAATAGGGTCGGAAATGACTCCTTTACTTTGTTGTTTAGCAGTTCTGACTAGAATTAATATACCCAGCAAGTTTCTAATACAAAGCAAAGTATTAATTTTATTTTATAAATATTTCCTAATTCTGTGTGTTTATCCTTTGTTTTGGTATAGTTATTTAGGGTTAATAAATTCGCTGCTTATCTCTGGTTGCTGATTGAGAATTGATTGATATTGCGGCTGAAGTGGCGTCGAGGAAGCCTAGATAATACTTCGGCTATCAATGAATCTACGTTATCAATACCCTTTTTAAAATTACGTACTACCTACTAGTGTTATCAGGGATAATATTATGTTATGTACAACAACCTTGATTGTTTTGGCCTTAAAGTTACCAATTATAGGGTTTACAAATTAATTCAATCACTTTGAGAATTAACTACAATACATTTTTGTATATTTAATATAATATTTAGAGGAAAAAATAATTTAAGATATTTTAAAGATTATTGTTGTACTTCAAGCTATCTTTTAATATTACTTTTAGGCATCAAAAAAGCTTCTTTTAAATTTAAATACTGAATGAAAATGGCACTAAATTGATCGTAGAACCTCTCTGAGGGCTTTGAGCAGCAGTAGCTAAGAGCACCTCGTCGGGTCTGGTTCTGGACAGGTGACGACGGAATAAAAAACAAAGCTGGAAAGCTTGGCGTGTGTTTACGTTGATAAACAACCTGCGCATATGTACGAGTTCACTTCAAGCCCAATATAGCTTTAATATTTGCTTTTTGGCAACGATCAGGTGTGGTGTGCTGCCTCCTAATACAATTTCGGGTTTCTTAAATTTAATGTTACTCAAACTAATTAGATGCTGCAGAATTAAAGTGAATGTCTATCCGGAAAGGCAATTTATGGTAAAGATTGTGGGTGGAGCAGGAAAAGCAATAAGCTTAAACAATTAATTCTAAACAAGTTCACAAAATAACTATAAATAAAATTAACAAGAAATATATGTATCAAATAAGGCATTTAACAAATTTTTAAAGATATAAGAAAATATTGGAAAATCGGAGAATTAATTAAAATTATTTGACGCAAAAGACTGCATTGTGTTTACAACATTTTAAGTATAACTTTTATATATAATTCTTAACCTCAGACGTCTTTATAATCTCTACAATAAGTGCAACCTCGTATATTTACAAACAGTCAAACCCTAATTAAGCGAGAGATCTTTATAAAACCGGTACTTGAGATTCATTTGCTCGATTTCTGGGCTCTCCTCGGCGTTCGCATATCAGGTTGGTGCTGCTTATCAGTCCGCCGCCGACGTTCGACGACTCCGGTTTCGGTTTTTTGCATTCTCCCGATTATTAAGAAAATAACATTTATTTGACCGCCAAGGTGATTCGACGAGGCGTCTGTGACGGAGGCGGCAGCGACATGTCCAAGGCATCCGATTCTTACTTTGTGGGCGTTGATGTGGGCACGGGGAGTGCGAGAGCGGCGCTGGTGGCGTCCAATGGACGTGTCCTGGAGCAGGCGGTTCAGGAAATCAAAACGTGGACACCGGAACCGCATTACTACGAGCAATCCTCGGAAGATATATGGCGAGCCATCTGTCAGGTTGTGAAGGTAAGGCTTTATTAGAAAATTAAAAGATTTAAGGATTATTTGAAGCTTAGAATAATCCTACATTACTTTTCCGTGCGGTGATAACCTCTGTCGTTCGACGACGTTTCTCGTAGAGATTAGATTAACCCGCAGTTTGTCCAATTTTACAGCATGTCATTGCCGGCATCAATAAGTCACAAGTCAAGGGCATTGGCTTCGATGCCACTTGCTCCCTGGTTGTTCTGGGTCCCCAAGGAGTTCCCCTGACGGTAAGCAAGTCTGGCGAGGCGGAGAGGAATATAATTCTCTGGATGGATCACCGAGCCGAGGAGGAGACTGCCAAGATAAATGCCACCAAGCATCCACTTTTAAAATATGTTGGTGGTCAGGTTTCCCTAGAGATGGAGGTCCCGAAACTGCTGTGGCTGAAGAGGAATCTCTCGAAAACATTCACCAACATCTGGCGGGTGTTTGATCTGCCGGATTTTCTCACTTGGCGGGCCACTGATGTGGATACTCGCTCGCTGTGTTCCGTGGTCTGCAAGTGGAACTATGATGCAGCAAATAATAGTTGGAATAAGGAGTTTCTCAAGCAGGCGGATCTAGAGGAGTTGACGCTGAAGAACTTCGAGAAGCTGGGTAGTGATGTCCAGCCACCGGGCAGAAAGGTGGGCAAAGGTCTGTCCACTAAAGCTGCCATGGAATTGGGTCTGAGTCCAGGTACTGTGGTGAGCACATCCCTGATTGATGCTCATGCCGGTGCTCTGGGTATGTTTGGCTGTCGTGCCAAGGGCTCTAAAGGTGAAGCGGACGATGTTCAGGGCAAGATGGCTTTGATAGCTGGCACTTCCACCTGCCACATGAGCATTACGCGGGATGCATGCTTCGCCCAGGGCGTGTGGGGTCCTTACCAGGATGCCATTATACCCGGTTACTTCCTGAACGAGGGAGGTCAAAGTATAGCGGGTCATCTGTTGGATCATGTCCTTAAAACCCATGAAGCCTACGCTGAACTCAAGGCCAAAGTGGGAGCGGATAAGTAAGTAAGAGACAGTTGTTAATAAATTAGTAATTAATTTAATTTAATTTTCAGAAATATTTACCAGCATCTCAACAATTTGCTGCCCGAACTGGCCGCTGCCCGTGGTCTTAGTGAGGTCAGCTGCCTAACCCAGGATGTCCATGTGTGGCCGGATTTGCATGGAAATCGTTCGCCCATTGCCGATCCTACGCTTCGAGGAATTGTGGGTTTGCATTTCCTGACATTCTCAACGAATTTAATATGGAACATCTTATTTCCTAGATCACTGGCCTGGATATGACGCGAGGAATTGAATCTCTGGCCATCAAATACTTGTCTTTCGTTCAAGCCTTAGCTGTGAGTTCTTTGTACGTAGTAATTAACATTAGTCTCATTAATCGTTGCTTTTCTAGTACGGAACGCGTCATATAATAGAGAACCTGTATCAACACAAGCGGGCTCCGTTCCAGACTCTCCTCTTCTGCGGTGGCTTGGCCAAAAATCCATTGTATGTGCAATGTCATGCGGATATCTGCAATCTGCCCGCCTTGATACCCGATGAACAGGAAATGGTCCTAGTGGGCGCGGCTGCCTTGGGTGCGGCTGCCTCAGGACATTTTGACAGCTTGGAGGTAAGCTTACTGGCTATTATTCTTAAGTCTAGTATTATAACAACTTATCTTTGTGCCTTTATAGAGTGCCTCCAAGGCCATGGGTGGCAGTGGCCAGCTTTTGAAGCCAAACCTTAAAACCCTGGAGTTTCACAATCGCAAGTACAAGGTGTTCCTGACGCTCCTAGAGAACCAACGCCTCTACAGACTCATTATGCAGGGAGAACAACTTTGAATGTTCGTTAGGGCTTTCACTTTAAATAATTTGATTTAAATAAATGCCGTACATGAGAGCATTGTAAACAAAAAATAAAGAGTAGCCGGCGCTCAGGTACAAACGGTGATCTTGTGCTCGTCTCGAAATATACTTTTAGGCAATGAAGGCAGCCGATTTGGAGGTTATTTTGCCGCGACACACGGGGCAGCTAATGGAGATTTTTTGGGAGCAATCCTCGCAGAGACAGACATGACCACAGGGGAGGAGAATGATCTGTGGGGAGAGGATTTGGTCATGACTTAAAGTTTATATATTAAATACAAAGCCTAACCTCCTTTGGATTTGTGGAGCACACAACGCAAAGTTGATCCTGGGACAGGGTATGGGGACGACTCCTCGCACGCCGCTCGCGACGCTCTGTATCCAAACGATCTCGAATCATGGCGTCTTCCCGTTCCTGTTTCTTTCGCTTATAGATCTTCTTTACGATTAAGGCCACCAGGACCACCGAAATTGTACCACACACAACGATTTTGAGTCTGCAAATGATTCTTCGGTAAGGAAAATACTCAATGGGAATATGTATAGCAACACTCACAATGTGGCACCCTTGGCATCTTGAAAACGCTTGATCAGCGTCGACTTGGTGGCGGTGGTTAGGAAGAGAGGACCCTCTTTGGAGGGCTGCATGCGCAGTGTCTTGCCATCAGATGACAGCTCACCGATGGCCGTGATAAAGCTGCCATCTCGAAGCACTTCCTCGGTTGTCTGCAGACCCCGCTGCCGAATGCCGCTGAAGAAACCAAATATGTGATCGGCCAGGGATAGGTTGGAAGGTTCATAGTTGTCGTAGACCATGTCCACATCTAGGACGCCCGCCCTCATGGCGTCCACAATCTCTACGCCGTATTGTTGGTTACGTAATTCGAACGGCATCTCATTTGCCGTCTTATGGAGCAGCTTGCTCTGCTCCGTCCAGAAGCCGGCAAAGCCCCGCGTGACTCGGTGCTCGTGCAGCTTGACAATCTGCAAGACACCGCTCACACTGGGCACCAAGGCGCTCCTCAGCGGCACCCCGATGGGCGTCACTGTGCCCCGGATTACCACATAGGGAATCTTCTTGTCGGGCTGCCGTTCTACCAACGATTTCAAGTTGCCATCGATGTTGTATTGCGGCGCCGTCTGCCAAAAAGATGAAAGAATATAAACCAAACTCAAGTGCAGATATCAAGTATACGCACCTTTAGCAGCTGAGCAGTGCGCTTGTAGTGCACATATTCCCGGGCGCAAAGGCCCAGTATCACCAAATCGACGCCGAGTGCAATTGCTTCGTGGAAGAAGTCCATATTTCCTATTTTATCGATGTACAATATTCAAAACATATGTTTATCTGTAGAGTTGCTGTGTTTTGCCTAAATTTGGAGGCGGTGTGACAGCTCTAATTTCAAAATCCACCGCTTACTGCGTTTGTGAAATAATACTAATAATAAACCACTCTTTTCGATTGGATAACCGTTGGAAATTATTATTTAAGGTGATTATTTACGAAACTCCGAAGTATTTTCTGATTGAGATTTGATTTTGTTTATTTTTTTCGTGTTCGGGAATCATATGTTTGTTTTTAGTGTGGCAGTGCTTTTTATATAAAAAAAGCCCGAATTTTAAGAAGGTGGCAGCTCTATACTTAAATTTACCGCCAAAGAGATATCCGGCTCTCTTTCAAATTTAAAAAAATCTGAATTAAACTCTATTGAAGTAATACTATTATTACCAAAAGGAAACTTTACTGTAATTAAAAAATATTTCATCAAGGGTTATTTAAATCACTTTTTGTAATAAAAACAAAATCATATACAAATCAATTTGTTAAAACACTATTTTCATAATTTATATCTCTCTTATGGCTTTCCAATAATGTTGTCGATGGTAAACAGAGTAGTCTTTGAACGAGTGCTTGGCGCCGTGGGAGATGTTGCTGGAGAGCTGCCCGCCGATTCAACCATTAAATCCTGAAGTCCTCGAAAGGAGGCACCAAGGATTGGATGACTCAAGGAAGATGCGGCTTCGCTTCGACTTCGGTTCAGGGCGGGAGTAAAGGCACTTGGGGAATGTAACTCTTCGTGAAGTGAGGCACTATCCAAAGGCATTTGAGTTGTTTTACTCGAACTGGAGGAGGGACTATCCACAGAGGTATCCGCATCATCAGGAGACTCTCGGATCTCGGGAAGCGAAGCTCCTGGCAGCGGACGCATTCCCCTGCCATCGTTATTGAATAAACTGTTGAATCCAAGAGATACGGACAAATACTGCCGATGGAGATCCGTAATCCTATCCGAATAATTGGGTCTCTCATTGCAGAAAATGTCGAAGTCGGTGAGGGAATCATTTGGTGAACGAATCTCTGCAGTTCTTTCACTGTTGTCGTTGGAATCCTGAAAAGACAAATTAGTTATGATTATTATATATATATTTTGAATTTGTGAATAATTATGCATTTTTAGTTATTTTATAAATTGGCAGGGTATTATAGTTTCAGTGCTTTAGTACCTTGACGGCCTCCCTTTCGTAGCGATTTGAGTTGCCGCAGTGCCTTTGCCTTCGTGTTCTCCTCCGTCGGTAGTTTCCCTGCTCGAACATGTCCGATGCCGAGGAGTCCAGCATCCAGTAGCTGCCCTTTCCAGCGCTATCATTATCCTCGATCGTATTCTTATCCCGTGGCACCTTTACAAAGCAATCATTGAGGGAGAGGTTGTGCCGGATGGAGTTCTGCCAGCCCTGCTTATTTTCGCGATAATAAGGAAATCTAAAATAGATAAATCAAGGGTTTTATCAGGTAAATTAAATGTTTCGTTAAAAATATAACAAAATATTCCTTTAAACATATTATTATATAAACCATTGAATTCTATTTACCATCTCTTTTGTAAAACGTAAATAAACAAAAACTGAATGATTTCCAAAGCTATTTTCTATTTACACAATTTAATTATATTTATAATACGAAAAATATATACGGTTTGTGTATAAATAAAAAATGTTGTTTCAATACACAACATTCCTTCAATCTTTTAGTTTACAAAAATATTTCTTATTGCCCAATATCTATATTCGCCATTTAGTTTGTTTAAAATATACGATTTTGGAAGCCAATAAAACTAATATTTGTTTATGTTGAAAAAGAAATCGAAAATATCTAGTTTATAAACATATGAAGTCATTGTTCTCATTTTTATATGTACCCAAATTCCTTGAAATGATAATTATCGCTACAAAATCGCCATCTTTCTCTACATTTGCCCGCCTTTTTCTTTAAAATTATGTTTATATAGAAACAGGAATGGTATTCCATGCATATATAACACATTTTAAATTCGAAAATATATGAGTTTAAATATTTTTAAATTATGGCCGAAAAAATTAACTTGCTGTGGTATTTATTTAAATTAAAAATACATATATGTATAATCAACCAATGATATTTATACAAGGTATAACTGGCCTTTACTTTCAATATTTCAACAATTTAATCCCAGACTTGGCAAATGTGACGACGAGTGTTTTGAAATGCGTCTCAGGATAAAAGTTCCTCAATTTAAATAGATATTCGGAATGCCTAGATTGTTTATTTTGGCATTTGGTTTAGTCAAGATTGTCATCTAAATTGTGCTGGACTTTCGTCATTGAAGAACATAAAATGGTGCATGGATTAAATAAAGATATATGTAGAAACGTAAGAGAAATATAATATATGTGTCTAAAAGAGATGGTTCTTTAAATAATTAAATAATAATCCTACCTTTGAAGATTAATATAATATTTTTGAATTTCTAATTTTGGCATATTATAGTTGAGTTATTTAATGCAATATGTAAGTTCTCTTACTTGTCCATAATAAATTTGTAGATTCCACTGAGAGTTAATCGCTGATTGGGAGCACTGCTTATGGCCATGGCTATAAGGGCAATGTACGAAAATGGCGGCTTTTCCGGTCGATGAGAATTATGCAGAAAGGAAATGGGCAGTCCCCAGATATTATTGTGCAATGCCAGAAAGTTATCGATTCCTTGGTAGTAGAAAGCCGGAGAAAAGGATCCACACATCAGACCCTCCATGCCCACGCCACCGACGGCACTTGGTGCAATGGGATTTGGTGATATTTGAGCTCGTAGATATTCGGGGTTTGCGAGGATGGAATTAACCAGATCCTCATTATCCGGTATGGCAGATCCAGAAGCATAGCAAGAAGGCAGCATCCTTATTGTACTGAGTATCCTTTTTATGTTATTATTTTAAATATATCCTCTAAATGGGTGTTAACGGTTACACTTTTTTTATATCTTGAAGATACTTTATTTCGTTTTTAACTTCACTTAAATTTTAAAGGATCTTTGCCTTGGTTTTTTCTTTAGATTTATTTTATACCGATTTCGTGCACTCGTGCTTGACTATACGTTGCGTCAGCCAAGAAGTCCGATCGACTAATGAATGGACTCGGATACGCAGATCACTTGTAATGCCTCTGAATAGTACTCATGTGTGTGTTTTTTTGGGGAGAGCATCGCATTGGTCTATAAATACTGAGTAGTACAAACACCAAGGCAGAAAGATCCACACATGTTCAAGATTTCTGAGAGAGAGAAACCAATAATCTGAGAGATACTCAGCAGTAAGGATTGGTTATGTATCAAATATATTATTTACAAATAGTTATTTAAATATAAATTGTGTTTTACATACGAGTTCTAATGATAACATTATTTTTAAAATACATTTTATTAATTTTTATATATTTTATTTATTTGAATATATATTTCTTATTACTGACATCTCTTTTAATTTAATATCCTAGATGTTTGATAATGTATCTATTGTAATTTCCTTTTATTAGTTGATCTCTGGAGCCAGTTCTCTTGAGGGGCGTTACTTACTATAATATTTTCCCCACATTTTCCATGTTTATTTGTATTCTCACATCACAAGATTCGTTGCTCATTTGTCTGTATTTTCCATGATGGGCGGAGCCAAGATCTCTTCTGCCTAAGAGTGTGTGTGAGTGAGTGAGAGTTTTCAATGTGTTTGGAATAATATGTAAATTGGATTTTTCAACAAATGAAAATCGAGCAAAGTTTACACATGAATTAGAGACACTAAATTTTGGCAATTTCAAAGGGGTTTCTAGAAACAACATTGAATAAATGTTCAAAGAAAAGTTTGTGGAAATTTGCAGAATTAATTACATATAACAACAGAATTATACATTTACTATCGATTAATAATAATGAAAACTAGGTTTCGTTAAAATTATTTATAAAAGAAGGAAACTAAATATCTTCTTTTCTGAAACCGTAATCATTTAGTATCAATGTTATAAGTTAAAAAGAAAATGTATATAAATTCATCGCTAGAAGGAATTTACAAGAATTTTCTATTATTTCAGGAGTTTTAAGTTTCCCGATTATAAAAGGAAACTAAAAGAAAAGTTTTGATAATTTCCTTTCAATTGGTTTGTAAACATTATTAAAGTAAAACATTTCCCAGAAGCACTTTCCCGACTAAACACTATATACACCGGATAACAGCTGCCCAAGATAATGCCTATCTTGGCGTAGTCCCTTGACACTGCTATCTCGTAGAATTTCCCTTCCGATTTTTACGACTTTTCCAATAGAGTGAAAGAAAGCAAAGAGTAAATGCTTCGGGAGGCAGTCAAGTACGCAATTTTCCCAATAACGAAAGCAACACGAAAGTCTTGGTCTATATCTTAAAAGGTCGTAAAATAATTGTGTATACATTTCAAACAGGACTACGATCGATTTTTACGATCGTTCCGTTCTCAAGTAGAAAGCAGAGATCATTTGAAAGAAATAAAAACATTGCGAGCAAATACAAAATACTCGAAGTTGCAATGCGATCAGATGAGGAGATATATGTTCACTCCCTCACATGTGTGGAAGATGCGGAAGATGCCACAAAGGATTCTTCACGCTCTCTCTCGCTTTATTCAAATTTTACGACTTTACGATCGCTTACCGCTGGAAAAATGGGTCATAAAACAATGGGTTATCCTATGCCCTCTCGATACCACATACTATATACTGTACTATATGGCCAGTTGATCCTCGAAGATGTCGCTGGGCCGTGTGTTTGGCTTTGCTTATTTTTAGACCTATGCCGGGAATAGTATTGGAAACAAATATTGTTTTTTATGGCTCAGCTCTTGGCTTGTTTTCTTCGTTACGAATGTTTTTTGGTTTGAAACAATGTTTTCGTTTGGGTTCCCTTTTTATTATTTTTTTCTGTTTTTCGGTTTTGACGGATCGCCCGGCACTAAGCCATAAAACGCTACCGATCTTGTTTATTTAGTTGCCGCCTCCCAAAACCGCATCTTAATCGGTGTCCCTAATTGCAGTTATAGTTTAGTGCGTGACTAGATGTGTTGTTGTTCCCGTTGTCATCACTTGATTTATTGGAGGGATCTTGAATAAATTTTTAGAGAAATACAGACCGAAATCGATAATGTGAAGCAGGAATTAAATAGTTGATCCATTACATTTTTAAAAAGAAAGAAATGTGTATTTTAATAAGAGGTTTAATGTTTGAAACTAAGTTTTTACTTTAAATGGACTTCTCAAATGTTTAGAATATTTAATTTTTTCTCTAGAAGAGTATTTTCATTTAAATCAAATTTTCTTTAAGGGATCATATTTATAGCTTATTTTATAGATAATGCAGTTTCCAGTTTGCAATGGAAATATGATTTAATATTTATAGGTATTTTTATTTGAAATTTAAAAAAAAAATCAAGATTTAAAAATCTCATAACCAAGCCAGAAAAACAGTAATTTCAATTCGGAAAGCTGTTCTAAGCTAGTTTTTTTTTAGTTTGGTGATTCTGATCAAGAATATATATGATTTATAGGGTCGGAAATGACTCCTTCACTGCTTTACAAGCATCTGACTAAATTAACAATACCCTTGCAAGGGTATAGTGAAATCTTATTGTTCTTAGGCACTATTATAAAAAATCCCCTTTATAGATGTCTCCCTGTACCCTGCGAAACTCTCAGCACACTAAAAAAAAATATACCAAGCACTGCCAGTCGGCACCTTGTCAAAATTTGATTTAATCACTCGACACTCGCTCTCTCCTTGACAGAGATCAAAGACAACAAATCATCGATCAGGCCTGGGATTTGTGGCCTGTGCTCAACAGCCCAGTGATTTGTCAAAATTCGATGGGGTGCCCCGACCCCATGGCGGCGGTGGCACATTATTATGCTCCCATCATCGGAGGCATTAACATCTAGTAGAGCCTATTTATAGGCGCCGTAAAATGCAGCAGAGTGTCCGGACTCCGGACCACGGACTATGGGACTATTATGAGCGTGCTGTTGTTTGACAACAAATACAAGGACCGCAGAGCTGCTCCCCTTCGTTACACATCATTGACAGCAAATTATCCACATTACCTGAATTGTCAGACCGGTCGCCCATTAGCCATTACGGCGGTGTGAACGTGACCTTTGCCGGCCATTAAATGGCACACTTTGGCTCCAAACGAACGCGGCGGATGCTGGGATGCTGGATGCTGGGATTCCGTGGAGCAGCGTCCCGGAATCGGAAATTTATGCGATTCTTGACACTAGTTGCGTGGCACATCCGTGGACTACACAGATCACACTGGGAGAATGTTATATCTTACTTTATAAGTTATGTAGGGAGTTTAAGGAATTACAGAAAAAATGAGCTCTCTCTGGAAACTATGTTAAAGACAAACTTATACGCTAAATAATAAATATTTTTCTACTGCAAGTGAATTTATTCTATAAGAAACATATAATGGAATGTCTTAAAAGTATGAATTATATTTACAATTAAAAATATATACATTGTAATAATGAGAAAATGCAAATAACCTGTATTGAAATAAAGAAATATTTATATGAAACATCAAAGGTAGAAGGATGAATGAATAGTTTAAGTCTTTGTTTACTTTCTCTTTCATATTCAGTTTTTCATAAATCTATGTTTTATGATAATATATTTCATATTCATATTTTTTCACAGTGCATCTCACCGATGATGATGGCTTTCGGAACGCCAGAAGATCTCGGTTCTGAACGATTCTGTTCCGTTCTGTGGAACAAATGAAATGCGTGAGCAATAAAGTGGTTGTTGACCTGTGACGGCGGGACAGAGTTGCTTCTCTCCTTCAGTTATTTGTTGGTAACAGGTGTTGGCCAGTCGGGTAATCACGACCATTTCGATGCCAGCAGCCAGCAGCCAACTCCTTGGCCAACAAAGGGTTGGTGTTAATTAATGGCAGGTTTAAAGTCGATGGCGGTAAGCGAGAACCATAATTTATTTAGCCATTGAATTTGTTGGCAACTGGCAATTGATTTGTGTCTTTGGCAAACTTTTTGCGGTCTAGAAAAGTTCACGAAGTTAAAGGAAAATGAACTGAATTCGTAAAAAATACAACAAAAAATAAAGTAATCTTTAAATTTCCCAACAAAAATGAGAAGATAATTTAATCAAATGATGCCATAACAACAGTGATTTCTTGAATTTTAAAGTATTCCCCAAGACTTTAATCCACTTGAAGCTTGAATCATTTGCAGTACTTTCCCTCTGACAGCACCTCATTTGCACTTGAAAAACCTATAAATTGAGTGATAACTCCGGCATCCCAGCATCTTCAAAAAGAGCAATCTCTACACAAATCGAAATGGCCGCCGCCAATCCACGGGAATCTCTCATAGATTATTATTTCGTATTACTCATATTGATTTCCAGCCGCAAGAAAAGTTTTATCGGAGCATGGAGGAAGGGAAAAAGGAGCTTGGGGCGGATGTATTGGAATGAACCGAAAAAAATACGGAAAAAATAGAGAAAAACATAAACCAAGCACTCACATTGATTGCTTTCCTGGCCGAATGAATCAAGCGAAAATGTGAATGAATTTCGCACGTTTTAAGTGCCAAATTATCGGGTACTCACCGGCGGAAAGGAATATCAAACAGTTTGGCTGCACAGGTTTAAAAACAATAAACTTTCAACAATCAGTAGCAGCAGCGGCAGCCGTATGTTTGTTTATTTGTTTAAATTTAGAATATCGACCACATTAAAATAGCAACAGCTTCAAAAGCCTCTCAAGTGGCCGCGGCCCATTAAACCGATTTCCAAGATGTATTACGCTCGAGTATTATCACTTGGAAAAATATATTAAACTACATATGTTAATAAACTGGAA